AAATTATTACTTTTAGTAGACAAAGTTATTCAGTAGTTTTAAAAAAACACACTAGTCTAAAAGTCTAGCTTTTTTAAAAAAAATTAGTAAATGGTAAAAATTAGATTTAAATTATTCCTCATATTATTCCTCATGTTACAGAACTGAAAAACTGACCAATATGTAAATATTTAAAGGGTTTAATGCATATTTAAAAATTTGGATTTTTTTTTAGAAAGTGAAAATAATTTAATTACTATATTTTCTATTTCTATTTACTTCTATTATTTCTCTCTTTATATTTTTCTTCTTTTTGAATCTTAATGTAAATAAGTAAAAGATATATACTTTTTATTTTGTTTCTCTTTTTCTCTCTATCTCTATCTTTGGTTAGAAACTATATAATCAACACACTTGTCTTGTTGGCAAATATTAGTAATAAAGTTAAGCAAAACTGCATGATATTTTGAAAATACAACCTCACAATATTTTTACCCATATACAATTGCAAACTATTATATGACTATAAATTAAATAATTCTTTATTAGCATTTTATAATACTATAACATTTGTATGTATTAGGCTTTAATATTACAGATTAATACACTAGTTTTATGTTGGCAAACTTTAAATATTAGTAAATAGTGGCTATTTGTTTGGATTGTGAGATTTTCCTCCATTAATTTTTTTCTTGTCTGTTTTCAGTTGAATATAAAAGCTTTCCAAATATGTTATATGCAAATATGTACTATGTTGCTGTCAATGAATGAAACTTGTATGACTGCAAACAATTTTTGCTCATTTTCTTTGTCAGCAAAGATAGTGTAAGGTATTTGTTGATCAAATTGTATTAGAAACTATAACTTCAACTAAGCACTGATAAAAAGTTGATCAGCTAATCCTCTCTTGAAGGCAGACAGCTGTAATATAAAACATTTGTGACACTATTGATCCACAATTGATTTCTTTCTTATTTTACATGCATTTTTTTTGCTGCTAGCAAAGCCTTAATATTAGCTCATTAAACAAAATTAAGATTTAAAGCAGGTGTTCAAGTTGGCTTGTAGTTATTATACTAGTAATTGCCATTATGTTTCGATAGGCTAGTACCTAAAAAATTAAGAACCATATCTTATATATTTAGATTATTCCTAAAAAGAAGGCAAATTTCTGAGTTTCTAATTCTGACCAAAATATGTTTATAAAAGTTACATGGCTTGTGGAAAAAAGGGATCTAATCTTAATTCTATGTAACTAAGCATTACAAAACATACATGTTTTATACCTCATTCATGTATTTCCAGCTGCAGTTAGTTTGAGATTTTTCATCTTAAAATCTTAGTTATATTTAAATTGCAGAAAATTAATCAAAATTGAAAAATCAGGATATTATATGCTAAAGTAATTCATGAATTATTGGATTTTATATACGGTAACAGCAATGATATTATCACATGCACAAAGATGAAAAATACAGAAATACCCACAATAGAGGATGACTGGTGAAGATGGCAGAACTTAACAGAAATTGCTAAATTAACTTGTTTGCTTAGGGAAGGAATAACAATTACTGTTATAAAAGACTAGAAACTGATGGTTTCTGGATTTGCTATCTGTATATGTTGTGTACGTATATAAGAAGATGGGAATTAGGTTATGTAAATGTGAAGGGAGAAATGGTATCAAATATGTCTTATAACTGCTGCAAGGAAAATCATAAATTGCTTCTTTAAATACTTTTTTCTTCACTTTTTTGTTCTTTATGATTTTTTACTTTATATTTATTTTTTAACTTTGTAAATAATTCTTTAATTAAAAAATATTTTTTAAAAAGATATATGCTAAAACAATATATATGGTAGTGCTGAAAAGGAATTTCTGTTGGTTAACATTGATTAACATAATTCATACATCTCCTAGAATATTAGGGAAATAAAAACCAATATAATTCATTTACATGAACTTTCCAGTGGAAGGAAAAGGAAAAAGAATAATTTCCTTTTTCTGTAACATTGTATTGCTGTCTGCATATATTATAGAATTTTAGTCACAGAATTGTATATTCTATTTCTCTTCAAAATATCTAACAGTTTATCAATAACCAAATTGTTTAATTGTACAACCATGGAGATTTTATTGTGTTTCTGTTCATAATTTTAACACAATAGTCATTTTTTACTGAATGCCAATTAATACATTGACAAAAATTTTGATGAGGAAAGTAGTGGGAGTAAATTTCCATCATTAAAGGACATCAAAAGAGGAAATAATGTTTGACTTTAGCACATATACCATGTTCTTCCATATTTTTCAAAGCAGACAATTCAAAAAGCAGCTTGGACTTGCCTCAGAAACTAATCAGTTCTGTCTTTCTGCCTTATACAGCAATTGATTCTACCTTAAATTTAGGAATATATGCATTTCTAAGTTAATTTAAGGATTTAATTTGATTGTTAGTCATATTAGATTAAGTAATATCTCATATTACTATAAAATGAATCTTCCTTTAAATCAGGAAGACTGTTTTGAGTTTGGTTCAATATATTTAAGAACAGCGCAACACAGACTTAAGCGCAAGACCTGCAATTGGCACATTCATGAATAGCTAGACACCTATTATTTATCACGGGTTGAAAAATAAGTTCCTTAGCCAGGGGCTTTCACCATTTGCTCAAGCAACCTTCTACAGTTTGAACAGAACACAGATAATATCCCATAATTTTCTTTAAAAGAGTACTCTTTTTGTACAGAAAGAACACTGGTATATTTTTGTTTCCAGGGATGAAATGTAATATTAATATTAATTGCATTAGTATCAAGAATAAACTTGAAAATCAATTGTACAAGAGAAGCAGGAGCTCTTTATCCAGCAATATCATTACTATCACAATATCACTAATATATTAGCACTTCTCTGCTGGTATATTTTAAAAAGTTCAAATGTGGTAGATATTGCAGTGAATACTGCTAGTGTCTGTTCTGATAACTTTGGGCCAAGAACCTCAGATTCAGGAAGTACGTGTATGAGTTCTTTTTCTACTTTTTCCACTACCACAGAGAGGTCTCTTTTATTTAAAATATGCTAGTTAAGGAAAAAACTGTATTAAATGTGTATCGCTCTCAGTTTTAATCATCAAGAACACTGAACATAATGGGCCCACATAAACTGACCACATGGGCCTCTAAATCTAAATAATAAAACTCCTCCATCCTTATATTTCCTAGGAAATTATTTTACACCGTTAAGGGTTAGATGCACTCATTTTTTTTCTTATACTACCAAGGTTTAATACATACAGTGGCCTACAATTTTGGAAATTATCAACTTCCGAGATAAAATAGTTAATTTTACATGTTTTGATTAGATTAATTAGAAAACAAGATGATAAAGGTGCTAATTGGCTGAAGTTTTCAAGATATTTCACAATGAAGATTTATACACAAGCGAGTGTATAAAGGGAGGAAGGTGTCTAATTAGCATGACTGTCATAAATTTTTGACAAAGTAGAACAATGAAAATGGTACCATATGGAATCATATAATTTTATCTTCATTTTGAGAACAGCAAGGCAGATGACTATGAAAAACATGGAAAATTTGCTGAGATCCTATAAACCACTTAATTGCAAAAATGTCACTGAAAATTCACTTCTTACACTCTCATTTAGACTATTTCCCTTTGAACTGTGGGACAGTGAATGATGAGCATGGAGAGAGATTCCCCAGGATATTGCAAGCACGGAGAAAATATACCAAAGGAGATTGAGTCTGTCTATACTTTTCAATTATTGCTGTAATCTCCCCAAGGATGATCCACAAGAGAAAAGCCAAAAAGTGCAGTTTAGGTATCAAATAAAGATGGAGCCTTGTCATTTAATCTGATGTTAGAGCTTGTCAGTTTTTCATGCAAAAAGCATGAAAATGTTACATGAAAAACCAATCATTGAATGGAAAGTTATGTTATTGGTATCAATAAAAAGATAAATTTATAATAATTGGTGTGGCACCATTCTCATTGTTATATCACATTTTGCAGAAAAGTTATGAAGCTTAATTGCACATCCTTGTAACTTTGAATTATTTTGATGCAATTTTGACTAGAAGCTGTATCTTGGAAGCTGGAGCCAATTAATATTCAGAACTTAATTTTCCTTTATTAGTGACCCAATTCTGATAAAATTAAGCTATTTTCATTTCCAAGGCTTTCTCCTTGTGTCAGACTAGTGATATCAATGAAAATTCCTCTGACAGCTTGACAAATTCCCTTGTCCCTCACAAATTAAGCAAGATGGGCAGCAGACAAATCTAATGAATAAAATAAAATTTTGGAGTGCAATCATTTTTTAAAATCAGCAAAAACTAATTCTAGCAAGTGTTACTAAACCTACAGAAAAAAGGATGTACATGAAGTCGAACAGTTTCCACTCAGGTCTTATTTCCATAACTGAGATACAGAGAGAAACTGATTAAACCATTACTGCAGCCTTTCAGAGCTGGATGGAAGAAGAAAAAGCAAGAATCATTTAGCAAGGGAAAAAATGAGCCCAGATATTTAGAAGTGCAGTCTTTGTAATCTTCAAGTTACCTATTTGACTGGCAATGGCATCATGAGTGGCTTAGACATCTATGTTAATTTATGTTAAGCATAATCTCCATTAGGTCTAAGATTTTTTTCCAAATATTTAGCAATTTTTCTCAATTCTTCTAGGCCAGTTTTATTCAACCTTAGCAACTTTAAGATATTTGGATGTCAGCTGTCAGAATTATCTATTGTATAGATACATGTTGATTCTGGTAACATTGTTTTCTTCAGTAATTTTATATTCCTAATTCCCCCACCCCACCAGTATTTTATAATACTTTGATTTAGACTGTTCAGTGTCTATGTATTTTCTGCCTCCGTTTAAGAAACCATTAGTCAGAGAAATAAGTTATATTAATATGCATTAAATAATGGGGATTCTTTTCTAGTTTATTTTTTTGCATTTATAAACTTTATTTCTCTCTTAATTCTTTACAGGGTACATACCCAGTTATTTAGACAAGGATGAGTTATGTGTTGTTTGTGGTGACAAGGCCACTGGATATCACTATCGTTGTATCACTTGTGAAGGTTGCAAGGTAATAATAGCAGTGTAAATGAATAAGAGCTGGAAATCATAAACTAATTTGATTTCCTATAATAGAATTCACATAAGTGGAAATGCCATTTAGGGAACAGCATACGTTATATGTAACAAAATAAGAATATTTCTTTTTTTAATATAACAAAGTAATATTTGTTCTTGCAATAGAAAGAAGACTCATTTTATTGACTGATTTTAGAATTTTAAAATACAATAACAACAAAAAATCATATGAGGGTTAAGAAAGGAAAATACAGTTTAGAATTATGATTTGCACAATTCTTTTTATTGAATGGTTGTAATCTTATTCTTGCACCTCTCTTTTTTGTAATTCCCTTCTCAGAAAGAAGGATCTCAAACATTTTCAAAAACTTGTTCTTTCTGGATTTTTTTAGCAAGGCATTATATAGCAACATATACAATAATGTTTTACGAAATGAAGGCAAAGATACATGCCCAAGGATAATGTTGCAGGATTCAATATGTATCAATCACTGGGACCAGAAGTTTAATCTGCCAAGCTTTCAGACTCATGTTGGATCTCCTCCGGAACTTTTCTTTACTGGAATGCATACTTTGGACTACTATATGTATAGTATTTATGTGTAAATAAATACAGAATATCCCAAAGTACACAATTTGTTCAGGAAAGTTCCCTGAGGATGGATTCTAACACTAGTTTGAAAGCTTGGAAGACTAAACCTCTAGTCCCAGTGACAAAACCCAGATCACTGGATTCTGCAATGTTTTATATAAGAAAATTAGTTGTACTGACTGGGGTTATGTTTTCCTTGCTATCTTTAAACTTTGATCATTTATTGATGACTTGGCATTATTAATTTGGTCATATATTAATCACAGTTCTCTCAAGGCCATATATCAAACATATTTTCCTTTGTAACCAACACCAGCTGTATGTTTATGGGAGTTTTAAAGCAGGACTGGGCAAGGACTTTTTTCCCCCTAGTGCTGCAAACTGGTGACTAGTAACCACTAAAAATAGAGAAAGAATTTTAGTGGTACCTGATGTATGACCATTGATTTCGCTGAGTCCGTAATTCATCTTCAGAACAGTAACAGAGTAAGGAGTTTCTGCTCTCTTCAGAGCTGGGTTCAGCTTCTCATTTCTTCATACATCAGCATAGGAAATGGGAATCAGATACTGTTTATATACATTAGCGTAGTATTAAAAGAAATTTCAATGTATGTTATAAACAAGAATTATAGCTAAGTCAATCTTATATTTATTTCAGACAAAAATATTCAATAAATTACAACCTAGAGAATACTCTTGGGATATGTTTGATAAAATTGTCTGTGAACTGAATCCATCTAAAGCACAGGTGTCAAACTTGTGGCCTAGACTTGCGGGCTAGATGCATCCTGTGCTGGCCCTGCCCCCACCCAGTTTAGCGAAGGGGAAACAAGTCCTGAGTTTGACACCCCTGATCTAAAGTGTCATAGTATAAAATCTAATTTAGTACCTTTCTAATGTGATGCCACTGTGACACCACAGGTTTGATACCCCTGATATAAAGTGTCATGGTATAAAATCTAATTTAGTACCTTTCTAATGTGCATTCAAATGTCACCCATCAGTAACATTACAGTTTATCAGAAGGTAATATTCATCAGTGCTCCTTTAGATACAAAACTAATGTAATTATTTATAGGTCCAGGCTACTTGTAAGAGTAGAATGTCAGCAGTATATAAAAATAACTACTTCCTTTTAAAAAACAGTCCATGAACTGGAAAAATCCATCAGTCCTTTTAATATTATCTTCTTTAAATAAGCTCATTTGTAGCAACTAAACAAGAATTGAGTACAGTTATTTGTACAATTTCTCCAAATAAATAGTTGAAATCAGATGCAGTGTAAGGCATATTCTTGTTTGTCAGGAATTACTTCTAAAGTCATCTTTTGAAAAACTAAATAAGATGGAAAACTGATGTCCTGAATTTTGGGGTATATATGTAACTTAAGCTTCAGATCCCCAACTGACAGAAACCAAAGAAAATGTAATTATAGAATCATATTGCATTTTCTTAATGGTTTATAAATAAATACCCAAGTAAAATGTCCTGCATACTTTATATAGAAAGGTGAGTGATTTGGTAAAATTTTGTAAATTCTTATTAACACAGGGTTTTTTCCGAAGAACAATTCAAAAAAATCTTCATCCAACTTACTCCTGTAAATATGAAGGAAAATGTGTGATAGACAAAGTCACAAGAAACCAGTGCCAGGAATGTCGCTTCAAGAAATGCATCTATGTTGGCATGGCAACAGATTGTAAGCTTTTAAAAAATTTCCTATTTGTTTTCATTAGATATGTTTATTACAATTTGTTTTGATGATCAGTTTTTTATTCCAATTTTTAATTTATATTCTTATGTGCTAGTTGAAAATATTGATTGATGTGTTCAATTAAAAAAAATTCAGTGCTTAAATTTTCTGTTAACTCTTGAAAAGATTATGATTTTGTGCAATATTAAGGAGATGAAAAATTTCTATCATAGAAGTGGGGAGATTTTTGAGCAAAGTCCCGCAGAGAAGAGAAAAAAAAATAAAGCTTAAAGATTTTGGAAAATGGGAAGTTAGATACTGTTGCATGAGTCATCCTGCAGTTGTTTGTTTTATTTTTAGCCAGAAGGAAAGGGAACACTATTCACTTATAAGAAAATAGAATATATAACTGCAAAATTAACTCTTTACAAGGTTGTATTCCCAGAGTTTCTCAGCAAATTTGCAGGAGCATCTTAATTGATGTGAATTGGAGTAATTATAATTAAAAATTACAGCCTCAGCATATTAGTCTTAATGGCTTATAAGAATATAAAGTTAAATATCTTAAAAATATTAAAATAATCCATTTTTTCCAATAGTCATATATGTGTAAAGAGGTCTATAATTGTTTAAATACATATAAAAAATTCCAAGCTACTTAGATCATGAATAATTACATTACTAATCATGATGTCTATATATTATCTTAATGTCTCAGATAATATACTTCTAAATACTGTTTGTTGAGCAATATAAGAATGGAACAGTAGCACTGTGTTTAACAACTGACTGGGTCCCTCTAAATATTTAGTAGAAGTTGTATTTTTGGTACTGCTTTGCTCTGATCCAACAGGATTTTACCTAGGTGCTTATGCTTATGTCTATTCTGATTAGCAATGTCCCATCAAGTATAAAAATTAGATTTTTTGTATATCTTTCCTTCTTCCTTTTAATTAAAAAGTTGCACGTGAAATAGGTTCTGAGCCATTGAGGAGGAATGATTGGACACAATAATTTTGGACAGCATATTTCCATGCAGCATTTTTTCTCTAGATTTTCTCTAGATTGGGATAAAATATTAATGGCAATGATGCTTTATCATTTAGTGATAAGGAGAGTTAAAGTTACTTTTTTAGGGATATATCATGGCCAAAAATCACATTTATGTCATCTCCACTGTGTCATATAATAGCAGTAGCATTTAGACATATACTACTCCATAGTGCTTTACAGCACTCTAGAACTACTCCATAGTGCTTTACAGCACTCTAGAATGGTTTATAATTGCCCCCAACAATCTGGGTCCTCATTTTTACCGATCTCAGAAAGATGGAGGCTGAGTCAATCTTGAACATTGGGATTGAACTCCAGACTGGTCATCCCCTTTCTCAATCTCTACAATGGCTAGCCTGCCAACCAATGGAGGATATTTCTCACACTAGACTCTCTGGAGCAGGGGTCCTCAAACTTAGCAACTTTAAGACTTGTGGACTTCAACTCCCAGAATTCCTCAGCCTGTCTGAGGAATCCCTGGAGTTGAAGTCCACAAGTCTTAAAGTTGCCAAGTTTGGAGACCTCTGCTTTGGAGAATGACATGTCACTGAGGCAGGCTAAAGACAGATTAAAATGGAAATGAAGACCCCCACTATGAAAAATATTCTGAAATGAGTCTGAAAGAAATTGGCAACTTGTAGTGCTCCAACTGATCTGCCACAGGACCACCCATCCCAGATAATCAACACTTCTGCATATCTGTGACCATCTCTTTTTCTCTTTTGGCTCCTAGAAAGAACAAAGTGTTGTTTGGCAGCCATTTTTTTTCTTTTTGTCTGATGTATATATCAGTCCCTTGTGAAAGTTTTACTATATTCTGTGGAATTAATATTCCTATCAGTAATCTCCCTATCCTAACTGTTGAAGTAATTCCCCCTTAGGAGAATGAGTGCATACAGGGAGACGTAGTGAGAGTGGTGAAGAATAACACACAACTAGCACACAGATACACTGTATAGTAAAATGTAGGTTTTTACTTCCAGTAAAATGGTTAAGCAAAGTCCAAACAAGCAGTCCAAGTCATTCACAGCCAAAGCAGTCAGTTTTCAGTCCAGGGACAATCCAAATAATAAAGTCCAGTATCAAAAACAGTTCAGTAATAGACTTACATCAAATCCAAGAATAACAGACAATAGAGAAAAATGGAGGAACGGCAACACTATCCAGAAACAGAACAGAACAGGAACTCACCGAGACTAAACAATCCAGGTTTCTGGCTCCATCTTATGGCCATTTGCGGAACCATACCCAATTACATTTTTAGTATTCTCTTAAAGACATAGTATTAAAATGTCTATCCTAGTTTATATATTTCCAACCCAAATAACTGTTAGGTGACTTACATTCCTAACATTCTCCCCTTTGGGTAGGACAATATGTACAACCTTACATTCTAAGTCCATAATCCTCGCAGCAAGCCTTATGCTTTATAGAGCTTTGGGCCTTTGTAAAATGATCTGCTATATTGTTTTCTGACATACAGTATTCTAGCTTAATCATCTTACTTTGCACACATTGTCTCACATTTAAATATCTTAAATCTGTGTGTTTTGTTCTTGTTTTAACAGCAATATTTGAAGCCATCTGTATTGCTGATTGGTTATCTTCATAAACAACAATAGGATCTGTTACATCAATTCCCATATCAATCAATAGTTGCTTATAACAAACTAAATCTGTACATAATAAAGACAAACATGAGAATTTAGCCACCATTGTTGACAAACTTAGATGTTTCTGTCTAATAGACCTCCATCCAATCAACACTTTTCCCAATAATACTACTGTACCCAATGTAGATTTTCGTGTATCTGTAGCAAAACTTGCATCAGCATATGCAGTTAAACTCAGTTCATCTTTTGGCTCCAAATACAATGCATAGTGCATTGTTTGTTTCAAATATGTTAACACATGTTTAGCAGCTTGCCAGTGCCTTTCAGTTAGCTCAGAGTTAAATCTCACTAATTGGTTAACACTGTATGCGATATCCGGCCTTGACCAATTACTGAGATAAGACAAACTACCAATCAAGGACTGATAAATATTCTTATCAAAAATAGGACTTTGAACATCACTATGGCTAAATTCCTGGCTCATTGGTATTTCAGCCAGCTTACAAAGTTCCATTTTAAAACTTTTTAGTAATTGGTTAATTTTACCTGCTTGTGAGATCTTATATTCTCCCCTAGTTCTATCTATCTTTAAACCAAGATATTGTTTGATTTCTCCTAACTGTTATATCTTAAATTTCTTCTCTAACAGTGAGATTATTTTAGTAGCTTCTTGTTCAGTTTTGGTGATTAATGCTATGTCATCAGTAAACAATAGCAACAATGACATTACACCGTTTCTTTCCCTTTTAAACAAACACGGATCAGCCATGCCAGCTACAAAACCTATCTTAGTTAATTCTTTAACTATACATGGGTTCCACTCATATCCTGATTGCTTCAAACCATAAAGACTCTTTTTCAATTTCCAGCAATCAGTTGTATTATCATCTTTTATACCTAAAGGTTTCTTTAAATAAATAGTGTGTTGCAATAGTGCATGCAGATATGCTGTCTCTACATCCAATCTCTCCTTAGCTGCCCACACTAATGCTGCCCTTAATGTAGTAGCCTTCAGACTAGGTGCAAACACCTCATCGTAGTCATTTGCTGTCTGATTGAACCCTTGTGCTACTAACATGGCTTTATGGGTAACAGTCCACACCTGTCTTAATTTTATAAATCCATTTACATCCTATGGTATGTTTACCTGGTGGTAACTTAACATTTTCATATACCTCCAACTTTTTTTAATGATTTCAGTTCCTTATCCATTGCTTCCTGCCAAGCAGCCTGATCCTTAGCAGGATACAGTTTCAATTCATTATAATTACTTGGAACTGTATTCACTTGGCATACAACACTAGCCTGATATCTATAACTGATATCTCTGGTCATGTTACTCAGGTTGAACATCTAGGTATTACAGGACTTATTGGTGGACTTTCTTGTGCTACCTGCTCCTGTTCTTCTACTTCCTCCTGCGCCTGTTCTCCTACTTCCTCCTGTTCTTCCTCTTTAATGGCTATTCGTGGTTTATTTATTTCATCTTTAGGGACTACTTGGGTGTCAATAATAATATCATTGCTGGATTCCTGTTCCAGTTTATCCCACCCAACGTGCTCAAGAAATTTTGCACTAGCGCTACAATAAACATGAGCTGTGCCTTGATCCCAAAATCTAAATGATCTGTGATTGGCCTCGTAACCTACAAAAAATAACTTCTTAGCTGTATGTTGCCCTTTCATTCTTAATTGTGAGGGAATATGCACCCATGCTGGAGCTCCAAATGTGTGTAGGTAACTTTAATTTGGTTTTCGGCTATGACAATAAGTGAATGGCAATTCTCCAGTTGTTGTGTTAACTACATTGTTTAAAACATGGTTACTACACATTATGGCTTCACCCCACAGTGTTTCAGGCAGACCTGAATCAAATAACATAGTACAAGCCATGGCTTGTAATGTTTGCCCTCTTTGTTCTACAAACAAGTTATGTTGTAGTCTGTAAGGTGCAGAACGTTTATGTTCAACACCTGCCAATTTCAACATAGTTTGGAATCTTTTGTTAACAAACTCAGTCCCATTATCAGTAACTAAAGTAATTACTTTACTCCTCATTTTTCTCTCAGCAAACCTTAGCCAGTTAAAGAAATGTTGTTTCTGTTTTGTTTTTCATAAGATAGCAGAAACCATACCTTGAGTAATGGTCCATTATACTCAAAATATAGCAGGCACCTCCTAAACTAGGTTTCTTAGGACCAATTATGTCAGCAAAAACAACCTCTAAAGGTTGTCTTAAACCCATTTAGTCTGTTTGCAGGAGTAACCTTACTTTTCTCTTGGCTACAAGCATTACAGTTTAAATACTTGCTACAGGATTTCAATTTTACTCCCTCTGTCA